CACTAACCATTCTCGAACCACAGCAGCGAAAGGGTTCCTTCGACCCGATAACACCTACCCTTCAGTCCCATCGTGATGGCTTCCCAGGCCCCACCCTTGTTGCCAGGACCCCATCACCCACCTCGGCAATAGTACGACCCCCCCCCCCTAATGTGGATATCACGCATATACTGTGCGACACGCCTTCTGACCCCCCAACCCCAAAGGCTTCCCCACTAACTCCCATACTTCACTGGCATATCTCTCTACGGTCCCGCCCAGTGCGCCGCTCTATGCCCACACCAGTCCCCTGTCCAACACCCCCACCTCGCGTCGTGTAGATTCATCTCCGATGTTACATTTCGGTGATCTGATTGCGCTAGTACTTCATCAATAGCCTATTATTTTAACCATACCGGCATAAGGATAGTTTTACGGCACGGACGATGTGCAATGTGTGCACCGCTAGCACTAGTCTTGCTAATTTTTAGAAATAATTTTATTACTTTGCTCGTACAGCGCACTATCAGAAAGATGCGCTTCACTCAGATATATACATTCGTAGTGTGAGCCGCTTCCAACGGCTCATCACTAAGGCTGTACACTCCATGGCTTATCAATGACTGCGCTCCCTAACCGTTTCGCTCCGCTATGCCAGGCTGGCCCGCTTATGACATAGTGTTATGTATTATGCTTGCCAATTCATGTTGTCAGGACCCCGCCAACAATGGTCAGGACGGGCGAGATGGGCAGCAGCCTCAGCGCCGCAATTTCCGCTGCCAGCGGGCGTCGGCGCCGCCTGCGCCTGCGCCTGCGCCCTCTGTGTCGGCGCCGTCTGCGCCGCCTGCTCTGCGGCTGCCCTCGCCTACACCCGTGCGGCGGCCGCCTGCGAATGCGTCGCCTGCGCCGTCGGCGCTGCCTACGCCGACGCCACCTACACTGTTATCGACTACGTCGACCCCTTCTGTGACTGCGCCGCCTGCGCCGCCACCGTCTGTGGCTGCGCCGCCTGCATCGCATGGCGCCAACAATACGAGACCCCCACCCAGCCGGAGGTCGAATTCGTTGGCGCAGTACCGCCGCCGCAGCCAGACGCGGCGCCAGACAGCACCCACGGCTCGGTGCCCGAACATTCACCCGCCAATTCTTGGGATAGTAATCGTCCGTTCCCGTACGACCTGTATCCCGCCCCCTTCGTCGTGGACGACCAGCTCCAGTTCGACCTCGAGGTGGAAGGAGACGACCCCGGGCACACCCCGGATAACCCCACCCGGACACCTCACCCGGATTTCAACCCGAAGTACGTCGGCTCCTTCGTCGGGTCGAACACCGCAGACGACCCCCTGCACTACGAATTCGAGATCAGCGCGAATTCGAGATGGCCCAGACACCACCTTCAACGAACTGCATGTCCGCCAGATGGCCGCCATGGCTATGGCGGACATGGTTGCCCGGGCCACTATGGCTCAGTCGCCCGCCTCCCCTGACAGCCAGGAGGAGGAAGGCTGACCAATAATTTCACCGTGTGTAGATTTTAGGGCCTTATGCCTTCACAACATGTATCCCTTCGCGAGCGCGTGTAGTTTATAGACATTAGTTGTAGCAGTAATACCGATTACGTCCCTTCAGGACATATTTATAACACCAGTAGATCTGTACGGTGTGTGGTCGTATGGTCGAGGCCCACACCAGTAGTCAATCATGTAATCATAGCTATGTATTATGTATTATCTATTATGTATTGTGCAAATTACCATGACCGGTTAGGGCGCACCCGCGAACAGCCAGCCAGGAGGCTGGCGTCGATGAACACAAAGGTGTACATCGGTTTAGTGGGGGGAGGAATATAGCGGCTAGATATCACAAGATATCACTAGATATCACTAGATATCACTAGATATCACTAGATATCACTAGATATCACTAGACATCACTAGATATCACTAGCCGCTACGACTCGGCTAATTAGCAGTAGCAGCATCGGCGTCAACACATCACTTAGGAATAGATTAGACCTACTTAGAAACCGATTAGAGCGCCGAGATGCGCCCGGCCCATTAGAGGTCACTTAGGATCGCCGCATCGGCGTCTTACCCATTAGGGGTCAATTAGAAACAGATTAGAGTCACTTAGAAACAGATTAGACAGCAACATCTATAGTGGCTCAAGTAGTCCTCTTGGTCGAAAACAACTCAACGCCTACGCGAATCTGTGTAGCACGTGCGAAGGGCGTGTATGCCGCCCTCGCAAATATGTACGGCGCATGCGCGAGGCATGTGTAACGCCTTCGCGAGCGTGTACGACGCATGCGTCACGCATGCGCCGCGGGAGTGCCTGTAAGAATAAAAGCCGGGACGCGGGCAGAATCGAGGAGGACTCCGCTCAGCAACCGGGCAACTAACAGGCACGACCAAGGCATTGTAACTCAAACAATAAAAGAACGTACAGCTAGTCATGGTAAACATCTGACTTCTATTCTTATCTATGTATTTTGGCTTCACATACATTCTACTCAATAGCTCAACACAGTAGCGTAAATTCCAACGTTACAGCTGCATGTATACCTAAACATCGCTACTCTATGCGACATGTTGGACAATTGGATTTAAACGCAAGGGAACGTAAAACAAGAATATTAGCTAGGACTATGATATGCGTAGTATAAAGTCTATGTAGGTAATAAGATTATAATTCGATCGCCCGTTCCTTACAGGGATACTCGTACGTTTCAGATGTATCAAATTTTAACACCGCCAGTGTTTCTCGGTAACTCCACTGCGGCGGCATACTCTCAAATTCCTCAAAATTTCATTGGTGTTTCACTCGACCATGCCAATTACGTGCAACCGGACGAGTCCGCCGAACGTTCATGCTTGCGTAAGCACCAAGAGATCTGTGATGTAAGATCTCCTATTTACCTCATAACGACAGCGATTACGTGCCCAGTTGCGCTATTTCTAAATGATACCGCTCTAATCTCCACACTATGTGCGAGGCGCGTTACGTTTTACGCACGGCCAACGCCGCGCGCCACCTACCTCGTTGACGGTAGCTGATCTCTACTCCCCACCCATTACGTTTGGCTATCTCGTGCCAGTCACACCCTACGACGCAAGTGACAACCAAAGAATTTATCGTTCGACAACAACAGACAGTTACGCGCCATTCTGGCTTTAAGGCCGAGTCCAAGTATTTTACCCAGCCATCATGCTTCCACCACGAAACTGATGTTGATGTATGGAGCCAACTACCCCCACTCGACCGCCTGTTTTACCGCACGGTCCCTACAATATGGTCAGACATTTATGATGCGAAACGCCTGTCCACCGCCGACTCGGAAGACCTCATCCCACCAGAAGTTGTACCTCCTAGTTCCTACGCCCATACTGACCTTGACGTCGCGTACACTGACTTAGTTACTGCTGTCAGACACAGTAAACGCCTGCCCTCGGCTACCTCGGCGTATACCGAGATGGGCAGTTCAACTATCGCGGCCACCACGTATCATTCCATAGTGTATATTGGCCTCACGTCTCTTTTGTTCACCGTTCTGGTCGTCACTGCATATTGCTATTGCTGTCGTTGCCGTCGATCTCACACCCCCGAACACCAGCCCCAGTTAAGACTTGCCGATCTTACACCACCCCCTTCCAGACACATAACAATACAAAGCTACCCAACCACCCCTACCACGCCAAGACCTCATTCGCTATTTTCCAGTATGCTACTAACCATTCTCGAACCACAGCAGCGAATGGGTTCCTTCGACCCGATAACACCTACCCTTCAGTCCCATCGTGATGGCTTCCCAGGCCCCACCCTTGTTGCCAGGACCCCATCACCCACCTCGGCAATAGTACGACCCCCCCCCCCTAATGTGGATATCACGCATATACTGTGCGACACGCCTTCTGACCCCCCAACCCCAAAGGCTTCCCCACTAACTCCCATACTTCACTGGCATATCTCTCTACGGTCCCGCCCAGTGCGCCGCTCTATGCCCACACCAGTCCCCTGTCCAACACCCCCACCTCGCGTCGTGTAGATTCATCTCGGATGTTACATTTCGGTGATCTGATTGAGCTAGTACTTCATCAATAGTCTATTATTTTAACCATACCGGCATGAGGATAGTTTTACGGCACGGACGATGTGCAGTGTGTGCACCGCTAGCACTAGTCTTGCTAATTTTTAGAAATAATTCTATTACCTTGCTCGTACAGCGCACTATCAGAAAGATGCGCTTCACTCAGATATATACATTCGTAGTGTGAGCCGCTTCCAACGGCTCATCACTAAGGCTGTACACTCCATGGCTTATCAATGACTGCGCTCCCTAACCGTTTCGCGCCGCTATGCCAGGCTGGCCCGCTTATGACATAGTGTCATGTATTATGCTTGCCAATTCACGTTGCCAGGACCCCGCCGACAATGGTGAGGACAGGCGAGATGGGCAGCAGCCGCCGGC